CTTACTCCAAAGAACAATTTTAGTTTAAGTGGGATAAAAATGCCAATATAATTATATTACACAGAAGGATGTCTGGACATTTACAAGCATGACCTTGGTTTTTCTAGACAAGAATAATTCTATTCAGCAGTAGATGCTTAACTTTTATTTGTCAGGCAGCATGTGACACTAACTGTATCTGGATTAATGCCTTCTTGGTGTCATTTTTTCCCCTTGTAGAGTTATGGGTAAAAGAATTGAAATCACAAATCTCCCATGTATCTGAAAGAAATAAAAAGTCCAATTTATTTATTATGTGTAAGCCAAAGCGGGGAGTGTGTGTGTGTGAAAACCCTGAATGAAACAGAATAAATGCTACTGGCGCTGAAACCTAGTTACCTCAAACAATTCCCCCACTTAAAGGCAGCTTAAGAAAAAATTGTGTAATAGCCTTTGTAATCTTTATAACTAGCATGTCAGCATCTACAGGTGTGATGTGCACTTGCACATATCACTGCTATTCCACCTTTTTTTTTTTAATTGCTGAACGTGTAATTTCTTTATATTAGACATTTAATCATTTTCTGTGTGGCAGTTACCTAACAGAAGCTGTTTTTCCAAGTTTGGGTTTTTTTTTTCCTTACTGCCTATCTGTGAGAAAATGTCACCTTCAGAAACCCCTCATTATTCTGAGTTCTTGTCATTGTAACAATTTTTTGGTTTGCCCTGTTTTTTCAATTTGCTTTTAAAAAGTATTTGAAACAGCTGGGTAGCTTCAGACATATACTGTGAATATATAAATAAAATGTGTAAATATGTACTATGTTAATGAGATGGGCTCGGAGTTTTTGTAAATTATGAACAGAATTTTCAGCTTGTAAAGACAGTAGGCAAAGAAAAAAAAAAAAAGGTGGTCAGAAAATGACTGTCTTTTCCAACATCTTTCTTTTGCTGAAGACTCATTCTTGTTGCTCTTCCACACTGATTTGGGGGGTGACAAGAAGGGGGTGGGGGTGGGAAGAAAAGACATTTCAATATATAGCAGCTTTCCCTTACCTTGTTATCCTGTCTCTTTTCTGCTATGGAAGTGTTAGTCCTTGTCTGCTACTCTAATAGATGTGGCCTGTGAAACAAAATTTGCAGGTTCAGGTAGTACATGCAACTAAAATATTTTTGTTTCTGTCTTCTATTTTGGTAAATTTTAGTTACAGTGACCATTCCTGGTCTGAACTTTGAAAATATCACCGGTCCTCCCAGCCATGGGCATTAATGCCTCATCAGCTCAGGGGTCTTTGGGGGCAGTTTTTGCAGTGTTGAAAACTTGTCCATTGCTTTAGAGCAGCCAGATTTTGGTGAAGTGGATAGACTCTGTAGGCCTCTGTGGTCTTCATTGCCGAGTAGATGCTTGCCTAGCGTGTTGTGTGTGTCAGCGGAATTAAGACAGTAGAGGAAATTTTAGCATTCCTTCTAGTTCTCTCCAATCATGTGATGTATGCAGCTCCATCTCTTCTTGCCACAATGAAATGAGAATCAGAGCCCATGTATTATTCTAATAAAAATTTCACCTAGCTGGAATGGTGATACCAATTTGAACTAAGCTGATGATGTTATTTATAGCGTGTTGCATAAAGGTAAAGAAAATCATTTGTATACCAATAACATGGGACAAAAAATGAAAGTATTTCTTCTAGGTTTCTGTGCAGTTTTCATTCCATATTTACACGCGCATTAAAGGCGTCAGATACAGTGTTTGAAAAAGTATGGTACAAACTGTGTTGTCAGACAGTAGCATGAAGCAGAGTGAAGTGATCTTTGCATTGGCAAGGGACTGGACTGGGAACTTGACCATACAGTTTTTTGGTTTGGTTTCTCTTGGGTTTTCTTAAAGGTAAAGTTAAATTCTGGGGTCGCATTGCTGTAGCTCCAGTGTCTGCAGTATCAGTTACACAATTAATTACATTAGAGGAGGGAATGGCGTGATGGGGTTGGTTTGAGTTGATAACCCAGCTTATCCCTTTCCACAGCATTCATGTTATAGCTGCAGTCTTAGACTATGCTGGTAAAGTGTGTGCGCTGCTGTTGCTTTGGCAGTCTGAGGTTGCCTGTGTTGGAGGTTGCCAGAGTCAGTGGACATCAGTACCCAAGGAAGGTCCCCTTCCTACTCCTTTGGAGCTGACTTTTGGCTCTGCAGCCATTCCTCCCAGCCTGGCTCAATGGCTGTGATGCTGTTGTGGTTCTGCATCCCCAGGTCCAGCCCATGGTGAGGCTGAGCACGTACGTCTGTGTGCATATCTAAATAATTATATGTATATATATAAAATATATATGTGTGTATATATATAAAAGTATATGTTATGTAAAATAACATGCATGTTTTTTCTTTCTCTTCCTTTTTAAAAAATCCTGATAGAAAGAAGCTTGGCTGGACCACAAGCAAGAATGCAGGTGTCTTAAGAGCATCGAGCCTAATTTTCCTCCAGACTCTGTCAGACTTGCTGGCAGGATTGTTTTTAAACTAGTAAGTGACATTCTTTTAGATTTATTCAGTGTAGCAGATTCAGATAAATACTTTTTCACTCTACATTTTTAATGTAATTAAGAGCTAGAAAGCCAAAGTGAGTAGGATCACTGAACAAAATTGGACTGCTTATTGCATTACAAGATTACTGATTAATTTGCAGAAATACTGAAAGGATCAAAAGATACTAAAATGGACATAATTATACTCAAGGGACCTGTTTATCGACTTTTTCTTCCTATGACTATGTGGTAGCATTCTAAATTTATTTCTGCCTAGAAGGAATGTGCAGAGGGACACTGTTTTTTCTCTGATACTACTGAAGTTATCGGTGCTTTTCCGTTAACTTCACTGGGAACCTCATTCAGCCTTATTTGGATGAGTGGTAAGGACGGAAGCTAGCCGTCCTTAGCTTAGCTAAGGACACTGTTAGCTAGCCCTTCCTTTAGAGGGCACAATGCCATGCTTTCAATGTTGAGTTTTCTTAATCTCAATTACTTTTTTTTTTTTCTTTTTCTAAACTCTCTTGGAAGTCCTGAGTGTTTGACATTCCCATGGTTTGATTAATTTATGTGGACTAAATTTTCTGTTAGGTTAAGCAGCTTATGACTGTGTGGGACTGTAAATCAAAAAGGATTTGCCCAGTTTTGTTGCTGACTCTGCCGTGATGTTGTCTGTCTTGGATAAAAACGTGCATTTGTTGTGGTCTGAGGTGATAAAATATGATTTAATATCTTAATTTATACATCGTTGGGAAGAGTGGGAGCATGATTGTTTTTAAAGGGCAAATATGTACCTAGCAGTACTGTGCATTAATTATAGTCACATGAAATCTGAGACTGCTAACCTCATCAATTACAGCGTGAAGGGCCAAAGTAAATTGCTAAATGTAAGCTGCTGAAGTAAAAAAAAAAAAAAAAAATTAGTAGAAAGTGATAAAACACCGAGAAAAAAATCAGTATTTTTTGATAATTTACAGCAAGTATGGAATGATCAGATTTATGTTGATACTGTTAGCCTTACCTAATTATTTTGCAGGCATATCACATTGAATAATCAATCTTGTAGAGTGTTTTCAAGATAACACGTGCTATGTAAGTGTTAATTATTTGTTTTTCTCTACAGCTTAGACAATCAGTATGCCTTTCTGAGAGACTCTACTCTTTTTCTGATCTGCAGTCAAGTAAGTAATTGCCAACCATTTTGCAGGAAATGCTTCCAAGTTCTGCTTTACAGAATGGCCATCTGATTTTCTTGCAGCTTGCCTTCTGATGGTCTGCTCTGTAGAATAACAGCATCAAAGATAAAACCTGCTAAAACCTCTGTGGGGAAGAACGTTTTTTTCAGAGATCAAGGAAAAAAACGTGTGTCTTGTTCAAGCAAAACTTCCACCTGATTTTTTGGCTTTAATAATTTTTCTCATTTTACAGTGTCTATCTTGCCTCTTCAGTTTTTAATTTACCCGATGTCTGCCTTATTACATACAGAGCAAATATTTTTATATACATATACAAAAATACATATTTTTTACATTGAGGTTTTACTTTTTAAATATTATATTACTATTATATTATTATTATATTACTTTTAAAATATTTATGTGCTATTGAATAAAGCTTCAAAATAACTTATAGAAAAAGAAAGAAAACTAAAATTTACAAGGGATGTATGTATGTTTGTCTTCTACGCGACTTTTCAATGGAGAACAAAAGATAAAATTGCGCGGATATTATTTTTGTGGTTTCACAGGTTTCAACTGCTTGGGGAAGAAAGGATACTCGTTATAATCTCTCACCGGAGCTGATGTTGAAATAGAAAACTTTTTTTTTTTCCCAGATTTTGTGGTAGCTTAAAGGTTAAAGAATCGTAAGGGAAGAAATACATCCTTAGTTCATTCTTGCATCTTGCTTAAAGGGATTTTCTGGAGAGTAATGTGAATATTTTGATTACCTCAACATTTTTTTAGTGTTATTCAGAGCTTTTGTTATATACCAGCTTGATCTATTGATGTAGTTAGGTACAAATAAAAAAAAACGTAAACATATAAAAATAGGGAAACCCGTACCAGGCTAGAAGCAAATTGAAGCTGGTTCCAGTGGAAGACTCCTGGCTGGTACCTAACCATGGGTATTGGACATTTTATTAAGTCAGCACTTAGTGCTCTGCTAGAAGTAGTTCATAGGAGATTATTAAAGCAGCTCACTTGTGTGGTGTGTGTGAGAAATAGAAACTCTGTGATAGACAGTTTACAACCTACAAAATAGCCAGTACCTTCAAGCAAAGGTATGGTGTGTGGGGTAGAACACAGAAGCCCAAGTATCGTATACACTAGACAGCTGTTTAACCAAATCCAGTGATATCTGCTTTAATTGCATCCTCTTTTTAAGTGTGGGACTGGGAGATAGCTTTAAAGAGGAGCACACATGTTGAATTGTCCTTCCAGGAGGTCAGCAAGCTTGGATCTAAAGTACGGGGAAGAAGCCTTCTTGGGTAAAAGGTTAATTCCATTCCCATTGAGGATGGATGTTTAAAATAAAATAACATTTCACCATTATGCGGAGATGAAATTGATTCATAGTGAATAATAATCCTCTTTGCCTTTTGTTATAGCTGATGCTTGGATCTGTTCATCTTCGCATTCTCCATTTAGGCCTTATTCTTTTTGTGCTAACTGGCAGCTAAAAGAAAATGTGAAGCAGGTAATCAGGCACTGAACTTACTAGGGCAGCTGAGTTTCACTTTGTGTGTTATCAGTGACCTGATGCATGCATGCTCAGGTCACGCATTAGAAAATAAGGCACTATGTTTCTTTCTGCTTTGGGATTCCTATTCGTAAAGCATGAATAAATGGTGTTTAATAAAGTGATATTTGCTTAATATTCTTCCATATCAATTCCATTTGCCAGCTGAGGTGTAAAAAAAAAACACAACACACCTTTGTTTCTAAAATACTTTCCCTTTTGATCTGCCAGCATAGTGTTTCTGACACATCTATGGAGAATACAGTATAAAAACGTACACTGCTGCAAGGAGGAAGGTTACTGCTGCATAAACTTTCAAGCACATTTTTAATGTTTAAAACCCAGATACCTAATTTTCATAGGTAATGTCTTACATCTGCTTATACATCTACTTTATGTATTGGCTTTTGATCTTTAACTCACCATTGTATTCATATGATTTGGCAATATCAACCTGAAAAACTCTTCTGTGTGTTGATAGGTAGCTGTCACAAAAAATGACAAATGTCCACCCTCTGTCAAAATTGCCCTCTGTCAAGATTAATTCTGGGACTGGAAATGTCTAGACTGTTTGGCTGCCATTGGACATTTTCAAAATGTTGGTGAAAGGTTCTGTTTATGACATAACATACTTTTTTTCCCTTTCCCCTTAAGATATTGAACAGTTAAGTGAAGAAATGAAAGACGGCCTCAGGCACCTTGCACAGACATTGAAACTGTATTTGAAAACTGAGATCCAGGATGCGTCTTGCTTGCCACCTGCAATTGACTTTTTTCAGATCTTCACAAAAGTAAGTGTTAGAATGTGATTGCTTGACAACTCATATATTTTCCTTTCCTTGTGTTCTTGATTTATTTTTGAGTGTGAGTTCAGTAGATACATACAGAATGTGATATATGACAAAGTGAAATGGAACTATTTATTTTTTCTATTCAGTCAGTATTTAAGCAGTATAGCTTTTATATAATTGTAATGCTTCAAAATTCAAAGATCAGCAAGAGGATATTTTTCTTTTCCCTTTTAAAATTATCGTGTAAAAGCTCTAGGAAAAAAAAAGTTGCATTAAAACCCAAGCTCTAGGAAAAAAAAAGTTGCATTAAAACCCAAACCCAAAAGTTGCATTAAAACCCTAAGTAATTTTTCCACAGTGATAAAGAGCATATAGCATCACTCTTCAGCCTAAACTTTTTCTGCAAAGTGCAATATCTTGTATTTGCAGATATACTCCCATTCCATTTTGTCATTTAGTAGTATTTACTAATGGCTGTTCCTAACAGTACTGTATGCCACAAACTGCTTTCTCAGGATCATCTATTCTGAAAGGCGACATGTAAAGTATTTGAAATTAATTTCCACAATATGTAAAATGTTTGTTATGTTACTAACTAAATATTGTTGGCTTTTGCTGTATGTATTTTATTGCTTTCAATTCAGAAAGCTTCACTTGCCCAATGCTAGCAGAAGTACTTCATGTGGAGAATACTTATACTTGAATTAATTTTTTTTATTTCTAATTGATTGATAAATTCTACCATAAGATTTATCTTAACTTCTACATGTTTTATTTGTTTTATAAGCATTTTTTATGAAGTAAACCAAATTCTTAGATGTTTTTCTTCTGATATAAACAAAAGGAAGAGCCTTTCTTAAAGAAATGAAATAAAAATGCTATATATAACTTTTTACTTTTTTAAAAATCTGTTTGCACAAGTGTGGAATCTTTTTTGCTATGGACAGAAGGAATAGGAGTAATATAATCAACTGTATTGTTTTCTGAATTTTTTTATTAGTGATTAGACTGCTGTGATGTAAAGATGCAATTTTCCCTGAAAAACCACACAGGCTGAAATACACCCATGCAAAAGGACTCGTACATAAAAACCTTATGCGCTACCTAGTCTCCACGCAAACTTTTACTGTCTTGTCTTGGCATGCTGGTTTGCCCTGAACTTTGCCAGATGCATTTCATGTGAAATACATGCACTGTGTTGTCTGGGTTAGAGAATTTGTACAGCTGAAGATAAGGCTGAGTATCAGAAGATGATCATTGTCTAACTGGTTGAACTGTTGCAGCTTGTAAGAAATTCTTTACAAATGTGGTTGCCTTCTATGTAATAAGAAGCTTAAGATGGAGGCCGGCCGTGGTGGCTTTACAGGAGCAGCATGATGATTGCTCAATATATTGGAGCAGTGGTGAAGAAAATAAGGAAGCTTTGTAAATTTTTTATGTACAAGCACACACAAGCATCAGCACATATGTGCATTTCCTCTTTCCTCCCATGTATTTTACCAAGGTGATGAAAGTGGGCATCAAGGGCAGAGCGAACATCAAGACTTCCCAGCTCCATATCCTGTTAACTGGAGAACTAGGAATGCTCCTGTTAATGACAACATTTGTCCCATTATAGCTTTGCTATAACAAAGACACTTTTAACTCAACGTATTCCTTATGCTGACTGTGAATTTGTTCCTGCCCTATTGAATGTACTGCAAAGTACTGAGTTTTGAAGTTGTTGCTTCCCACCCTCCCCCTGGAAATTCAGAGGCTCTCAAAACATTAAAGTAGCTCTCATGTCCTTCTTTTGCTCATTTCACTCAGTCTGTGTAATAGTCTGCCCAAGGGAAATGGGAGAGCAAATGACACAGACCTATCATAGGTGGAGGTACTTCATATCACTAATAAGAATTGACAGAAGAATCTGACTGAATAGGTGAGCTGGTTGGGAGAAAGCAGCTGTCAACTAAATATACTCATATGCTTTATGTGTGAGTAAAATTAGTATCTCGTCTGGAGTTCTGTCAAGCACAATGCTTTTTGGAAAGCTCTATTGTCACTCCCTAATTTTCCATGTGGTATTTTATAGCCTTCCCAATTTGGTTGTCAGATGAGTGTGTTATGAAGTATGGTGTTATATTAAAATATGATTTTAATATTCTTCCATCCCTAGTGAGGCAGCAGCAGGCATTTTCTGCCACTCCCATAGAATGTTTTTTGGAAGATAAGCTGAATGTCAATAGAAAAAATACTGGGCTTTTTTTTTTTCTTTTTTTTTTTCTTTAAGCTGAATAGGGATGCTTATTCCCAGCAGGTAAAATTTAAGGCTTTGGAACTCCAAAGTCTCTGATAAAAGGCTCATGCGATCTCTTCTCTGTGGTGTAACTCTAAAAAAGGCCAGCTGTGATGACTTCTCTGTGTGGTCATAGAATAAAGAAATACTACAGATACATGACTTCAAGATGTAATCTTGTTTTCCCAACCTCTTCCAACATTCCTTTCAAGTTCAGTAGGTGCTTATTCTAACATTGAACTTTTTTGGATCAGTTCTTTCATTGCATGCCACAAAAAGATGCAGTCAAAGGTCATTTTTTATTCTGTTTGATGCTGGATCCTCAAGAAGGAAAATAAGCAGACAGCCAGACAAAAGAGAAAAACGGTCCTGCAGCGAGATGACTAAATTCCAGATAGTTCTTGGAAAGTTGCCAATCTGATTTAGGTCAAAAGAGCTTCTCGGAAGCTCTTTTAAACAATCCTCCTTCTCTGCTGGCCACTGCTCTTGTCTTTGTAAAAATTAATTATAGTTTTATTCACTTGCTTGTGATGCTTTAATGGGCAGAGAGTCCCCTTGAGTGCAAACTTCCCATTGAAAATCAAAGAAAGTTTTGCCATTTCTTTCCATGGGAACAAAATTTCACCCCAATGTATTTTTAGTTTGCATAAGACCTGTGGAAAATATCAGCTGTACTGGGCGGGGAGGTGTTTCAGAAGGGTAATGTACCTTCCTTTTTGACAATGTTGGCCTGTCCTTACTAGTCAATTTGCTTTTGTATAGACTGTCCTTTGAGCTGGAGTTGGATTTTTTCATTCTTGCTATCTGATCTCTCTTTGGAAGCTCTAGTTTATTTAACATGCCATTTATCAAGGTTGTGACTGTTTTTAAATTCTGATCCTCAGTATTAAACAGAATTATCTGCAGTTAATTACATGATAAGGCTTTAACTCCACTGAGACGTTTTCTAATGTCAAGATAAATTTTTGACACCATCGTTTTATGGTTTAATGATGTTTCCATAACCTTGAGATAAAATCAGTCCTTGCTTTTTATTCTTCAGCTTTTACTTACATGTGTGAGGAGGTGGCCTGGAATCCTGTGAGACATTTCATGGATGTGGGATAAAGAATTAAATTTTTTTATATACATTGATGGTTCTTTTCATAATAGTAGGCAGAACCAAATAAACTATTTAAGGCATTGAATGAAATTTCTACCTACCATGTTGACTGACTTTTTAGCAATCTTCTAATCTTGCCACTTTTTTCTTACAAGCAGATTCTACTTTGAAAGCAGATGTGCTGCTTTCATTCAGTTCACTGGAGAGGTCACACACCTGTGTATATGTGAGCTGAGTATGCCTCTTGGTGCAGGTGGTGTGCTGCCCACCACCTTCTTCTCAGGTGCTGTCCTACTCTTTCCTTTTCAGGTCAGTGTAGAATTCACACAGATCAATGACAGAGTAAAAACAGGTCTAAGTAAGCATAGAGCTATAAGTCTAGGGTAGGATGAAAAAGAAAGCCGGTGTGCGTATACCTTGGAAATATATGTGCATCTTTTATATGTCAGACTAATTTTTTTTTCTTTTTGAGGTTTGTGAAGTTGAAATCAAAGTGAGGAAGAGATACAAGTTTGATGCTGTATCCTAGTCTCTGTGTACCCACAGACAGTTTTAACCGAAAGACTGGTTGTCCATTTAGGCTGTTGGTATAATTGATTTTATTTTTAACTTAAGAACTAAGGGGCTACTGTAAAGTGCAGAGGTACATCCCTCAAGAGGCAAAGTGCATTGGTTTCTTTAAAATCCTTTGTTTATTCCTCCCATCAAAGCTTAAATATATTCTATTTGTTCTTCTAAGTTTTCAGTACTTACTTTTTATTCCACTCAATGCTTTGCAAGAGTTTCTTTTCAACATAAAGGCTATTAGTACCAATTAACAAGATCTTCTTGTTAAAGGGGTTTTGGTATGTGTCTGCATAGGCAGAAGAGAACTGGGAGTTGAGCAGTGTCATTGGCATTTGTAAAGTCTGAATATTAAATTATGGTAATCTATTTGCCTATCTTTTTAAGTGCAAGTTGAAGGAAATAGTCTAACAATTATATGAAGTCTAACAATTATTATGGAAGAAGTATGTTTGATCTTCACATCGCTCCCTCTATTAGGTAGCATATGTTTTCTGAGAAGACCTTTGAAGAGAAGATATGTCTGCCTGGTCAAGATATTCTTTAGCAGCTCTTTCAGTAGGTTACTCACTTAGGATTCACTAGTTCACTTAATCCATGCTAGCAGGGAAATGAAAGTGATTTGTATCAAGAAAGTGAGAAGAAATATTAGGATAAAGTTAAGAGTTGTTAAAGGCATACAGGTGAAGGTTGCCTTCAGATGCCTGGTTTGCTAATCTAAGTAACTCTGGGTGCACTTGCTCAGTTTCCCTATGATTAGGAGGACACAGAGCTCTTTTTCTGGAGATGACAAAAGCAAGTGTGTGTTTATCTGTCATTGCTCTTTAGGTGACTCAAGCCTAATGTATGTTGCTACCCTGTCTCATGCAAACTTGTGTGTTTATGGTAAATTGGAGACTGGGCCAGTATTAACAAATATATTTTTAGTCATGGTCCAGGAAACTGTTTTGCAAAAACCTTTTCATTTTGATAGTTCTTTTTGCTTATCTTTTCCAAAGTCTTGTATTTCCAGAAATCATTGTACCTGAAGCAACAGTGGGTAAACCTAGGTGCTCA